TCTTTTTCTAGGATTCGGTACCCGCTGCACGCAACCCAAAGGCCCAAGAGACCCTCCATCTGAGTGGACATAATGATCAAGGACCTACGATGGCCGACCCTTCATGCATCCACACACAGATACAGACATGTACCCACTCATTCACACACACACGCCACTACCATCCCCTCTCTTGTAAGTGCCATTCTAGAAGGAGGATCAAAGACATCTCTCACCGCCACTCTCACCCACTTTCCAACTAACACACAATCAGTATAGCTACATAGATAATCTTCCATGATGCAGCCGCACTCCTCATGCTGTACGTGCGGCAGCTGCCATGGGTTCACTGCACTGGTGCTACACCTTCTCCTTGCTGGGACCATAAACCTGCCTTATCCCCCCTTATAGCAAAAACCTGATCTGACTGACACAACAGTCTGTATTGCTGTCCTAGCTAGCTAGCTAGAACATCTCTATACTTTTACACTCCTACTACAACAATACAATACGATATGTATTCATAGGGACAGAAAACTACTGTTTTTTTTTTTTGTTTGTTTGTTTGTTTTTCTGTTTTGTTTTGAACCATTCTTCCCTGCTAACTTCTTGATAGCCATATATGCATTGTTTTATAGGTGTACAGGGCAAGTAGGTATATAATATGACAAATGAGCTATCGCTAAATATTCTTATTAACAGAAGATGTAAGAAGTCTGTGCATGATAACCCCCCATGTACTATGAACTGTAAATTATTTGCCCTCCTGTTATAACAAATATTTCAGGGTTGTTTTTTTTCTCTCTCGTTTCTTTCCAGTGTTTAGTTCTTTTTTTTTTTCCAAAGGCTAGCTGTTTTATCAGCCAATCCCTGAGATGGCACGGGCTCAAGATTGTAATAATGCTTTTTTGTAAATTGTATTCTAAAGGTTATTTTTGTATACGCTGTTTTTGCTCACTTCATGAACCATTGCCCAGTACCACTGGCCTCTCAGAGCCCACCTGTGCCTTTTTCGAGAGGATGCCCCTCCTGTCCAGTGTAAGGGCAGCGGCACGTGTGAATGTGTGCGTGTGAATGTGTGCGTGTGTGTGTGTGCGTGTGTGTGTGTGTGTGTGTATGTTTGTGTGTGAGAGAGAGAGAGAGAGAGAATGAACGAGAGGGAGATAGAGATTCACGCCGTTATGTTCAAGCCTCTGAGATCTGAATGACCCTCCTACACAGACCTGTTTGTATGTTGCAGAAATCAATCAACCTCTCAGTAAAAAAAGAAAGACACAAGGAAGACGTTTCTGTGGCCTGATTTATTTGTTACTCATTCCTCTGGTTGGTGGGTGAGCAGTGGGAGTGTAATGCTGCTGCTATTGTAGTTGCACTATTAGCTCTTTTTTGATAAGCTGATAAGTAGAAAGGACTTGCAAAGCTGTTTTTTTCAGACACACAATACTCGTACAAGTCTCACGCCTAACAATGCCCAGTTAAATGACTCAAATACAGCTATACAGAACAGAAATGCATGAAGAGAAGCTGCGTACGAATTTGCCAAGATACATTTAGAAAGCTGTAATACCTCCAGTACATGAATGAGAGGATAGTGTATACCACAGGGTTCTTATTCTCAGACTTCAGCCTAGAAGCTGATATTGATTCATATTAAACAATTAAATGCAAACGTTTGGGCAACCTGGTCATGTTACATTTGGTAAATTTTGAAAATGTCTCTCTACAAAGACACACTTGTGCACATTTAACTTTTTACTCAATTACTTTTATTTGCTTAATTTAACATATTATGAAAAAAAACATAAAAAGGTGGCCTGTGCAAATGTTGTGGCTCTCATTTATAGAAGTTTAATGTGCTCCATTGTAGAGAAACTTACTGACTCAGAATTGTTGTTGGAAACTTTTTCAGATTTTTTACTATTGTACCATCAACTTTACTCATAAGAACGTGTGGGTTCACCGATGGTTTTGGATAGTAAATAAAATGGCTATATTTGTGTTGTAGACATCGCCACCCCTGGGTCCTATCACCACCACTGAGCAAAAGTTTCTCTACATCTCAATGACTAAATTATGCAGAAATTTTGAAAAATAGGTATAATTCCCCTTTAAATGTGTTAACTTATTTTGACTTAGAAGATCAACAAAACTGTCATTTAACCATATGGTTGTACAGGCCGACCCCTGAAATGAATGTATTTAAAATGTATGTTAAATGAATCTGGAATACCAGAAAAAAGGCATTATAGACAAAGAGGGGGAAAATATCTTTGCCCTATATTACATAAGGCTCTTATATGGTTACATTATTTCTTGTCTCAGCCAGTTTTGTAAAATGACTGAAATGTTTTGTATACACCACCGTTGAAAAAGTTTGGAATCTTTGTTTTCAGTATTATGACACAAATTTGGTTGCAGACAAATGTATGAAATAAATCAAGTATGTTCATCACAGGTTTCAAATAGCAAGGACACTAGGAAGTTATAATTAAAAATGAATACATTTCAGATGTGAACAGAACACAGAATCTCCTGTAAATGATACTAAATTTGCAGGGAGTGCTGTATGATATAATAATAATAATATCCAGAATTTGTCATATTTCAAAAGTGGAGATCAAATCTCAAATCGCAGGCAACAAAAACTTGATGTTAAATATATAGTATAATATATACAGTATATTATTTAATTACTGAAATATTGAATAAAACCTAAAAATACCTTTTTGGTGAATAGTTTGTAGTATTTAAATCTTCATTGTGTATACATAAAAAAAAACGTGGCAAATGACTCCAAACTTTTGAACAGTAGTGTTTATCCACAAATCTGTGTGAATAATAGCCATTCTGACATCAGTTCAGGCTGTTCAAATCAAAGATAATTATCCTTCCTGTGAAGGCTAGGAAACGTCTTGGGAAACATTGCTATGCTGACACACTAGTAAAATATAAAATATCTCTTTTAAAGGGGGGTCTTTTTAGTGAACATTTGGGGACTCCCTCATGTGATATCCCACTGCTGTTGTGTTTTACCACACGCTGAGCTAAAAGCACAGAGGTGATTTTAAAATTCATCTTTTGGTAGCGTGGCTATAGGCCTAAGTCAGGAAAAACAGAATAATTGGCTGACAGAAGCCAGAGCAGGGTCCTGACCTGCACAGGGCCAATAGAGCCACTGTGCTGAAGATAGTGGCTTTATGCCTTGCTGTTTTACCTTGTGTTCTGCATGACCGCCTCACATTTCAGAATTGTACTATTATCAAGAAACAATTGAGTGCATAAATTTGAAAAGCAATTTTCCACATCATCAAATATTGCCAGCTTGGTATTTATCCTGGCCTCACGAAAGGGCCTAATTTACTAAAGCCCTTAGTACAAGCAGAAAGGATGGAAATGGTGACTGCCTGAGGTAGTGAAAATGCCTCATTAGCATGCTTCAGTCACTGATCCTGTCTGTGAAATCACACATGCAGTTATGTACATACCTGTAGGTTACATGTGCATACACACAGAAAGAGTTTCATATAAATCATTGGACACTGTGTATCACTGATCCAGTAGCTTACCTGTTGCCTCACAGCTGACACTAAGACATTATGCTTGCTGGAGCCTATTCAATAAAACAGCGATTGCCAGAGGTGCCAGAATGGTCTGGAGCCAGCCGCCGTCTCCGCTCCGCACGAGTGCCCTACTGAGGAGTGCTGGATTTGGGGGCTGGACTGAAGCCAAGCCCTGCCAGTTCATCATCTGCCCATGCTGCAGATCCATTTGAGGGGAGGGATGGAATTCCCTTGAAGTCAAAGCACAAGCTGACTGCTCCAGATGGAAGTGGCTCTTTTATGCTGATGTGGAACTTCCCCGGCACAAAACTTCCACGGAAAAGGAAAAGCTCAGTTCAGGAGGAAAAGGCAACTTCCAAAACTGTTCTTGAGAATTTTTTGTAGGCCATTTTTCAGCAGTATGAACAAGTCAAAAGTAAAAGAACCTTAAGTTGTACGACACCTACAAAACACCTACAAAAAAAAAAGTTAGTCAATATAATCAGACTTTTTCCAAGTAATTCTGAGCCATTTCCTTTGGTCCATTTATCATGAAATTCTTTTTTTGTATTTTTTTTTATTGTGGAAAGTCTTTTGAAAAGAACAAAAAAATACACAAACTTCACATATCAAACAATTGTATCAGTACTTCAATTAGCACCACTACATATATATATATATATGCGTTTGTGTGTGTGTATGTGTGTGTGTGTACAACTACATGTTATATTTATCTGTAATACTAATTTAAGTAAATGTAGTCCCGGTTTCTACCCTTTATAAATGGTAATGTATCTGGATCAGCAGATATGTACATGGAAAAATATCGAATATCAGTATCGGCCCACAATCTCCTCTTGATGTTGAAGTTACACTTTTATGCTACAACCCAATAAATGATAAAACTTGATTCAGTAGTAGAGAATGACATCCATAGTCAATTATTGCATTACTTCTCATTTTTGTGGGCAGTTTTTAGCATGTTTAACTCTAAAAGACATAGCATATATATATATATATATATATATATATATATATATATATATATATATAGCCTAACAACCTTGGTGTAGAAGGCCATACTCTTTAAACTTTTATACAAAAGACCCAAGCTAAATTCCCACACAGATAGTGTGGGTCAAAAACAGACAGAACTGGGTGCAAACAAAACACCAAAACCCCTCACAGACAGAGGTAGCCATTTACTATCATCAGATTAAGAGGATAATCACTTTCGCATCGCCCCTTGTGGTCTTCCAGTGAGCCACTAGTTTCCAGCCTTTCCCGCGTAATGGAGTAGCCGTACTGCGCCACGGCTCTGCCTCACCGCTCCTCCCCCTCCGGCCTCACTGGGCGGAAGCTCCGCCCTCGCGTAGCCGCTCTGCATGTCCATCACGCAGAGGCCGCCCCTCCTCCGCCTGGTAGTCACGCCGAGGCCCCGCCCCTCCCTGCCCCGCTCACAAACAGCAGCAGAGTCGGAGAGTAAATAGAGAAAAGCCCCAAGATGGCGGAGTCGCTGAGCTTCATTCACTTCGGCGCTGCGACCAAAAGCCCGCTCCCCAAGCCCAAGGAACCCAAACCGTCGTCCGAGAGCCGGCCGCAATCCTCCCGGGACCACCATCCTCCGCCGCCCAAGAAAGTTCGCAACGACGAGAAGAGCCTTAAACCCAAGAAAGTGAACGGGGAAGGCGGAGAAGGGGGAGGAGGCGGTGGCGGCGGCGCGGCGGACAAGCAGCAGCAGCAGAGTTATGGCAGCCCGACAACATGGAGCTTCACTCCCGTCAAGACGAGCAGCCCTGCGGCGCCTGTCCAGCAGCCTCCGCTGCACAAAGTGTTCAAGCAGAGCGCCTTCCTCGCCTCCCCGCCCAAGCCCAAAAAGCTCAAGGAGAAGCGAGAGAAGGAGAAGGAGAAAGAAAAGGAGAAGAGGAAGCATAAGCTGCCTTCGGAGAACAGCGTTAGTAGCGCGGGGATGAAGAAGGAGAACGGGGAGGTGAAGTTGTTGCAGAAAGGTAGGTTAACGTAATAGCTTACAACACTTTTAAAACCGCTGTTTAAACCCGTTTTTGGACCCGTTCGCTTATTGTGGACATTCACTTATTTTAAAAACGGAAGTCTTTCGTATGAAGCTGGTTTGTTTTTCAGCGTATTTCACTGAGAAAGTGTGTTGTGACAAACAACCAGTATAGTTAGCATACCGAGCTAGCTGCTCGGTTAGCCGTTGAGCTAAGCTAGCGGGTAGTTTCCCTCGTTTCTCGTAACGGAGTCTGATTGCGTGGAGTTGCGGTGGGACTAACGTTAGTTAGGGCTGTACATAATAAAAGTGCCTAAAATTCACAATGTTGCTATTATTACATGCTTGAACGTGGCTAGATTTGAAATGGCATGTACTAAGGAGCTTACACTAACAGTGACTAATAGTAACATTTAGGCCTGCATTAACTGTGACTCTATACAGGTTTGAGTTGTAGACTTAGAAAGTTGCACATGGTAGCTGTACAGTGTGTGCTTATTGCTGGATCAGTTTGGGGGAAATAATAGTAAATAATAAAATAATTAGATCAGTGACACATCTGCCTGAAGTTTGGTATATTTTCTACATTTCTGCATTGCTTAATCGTTGAGATGTAAACAAAGTCATTTAGGGTGGTTTGATGCGAAATGGGACATTGTAGAGAAACGTACCAGCTCTTCTTCTTTACAGTGGTGTTGATGGGAACCAGGGGTCACAATGTCAACAACACAAATATAGCCGTTTTATTTACTATCCAACATGACACGTGGACCAACACGTGTGTTCTGAGTTTTTATATGTAATGTTGATAATGGTGAAACAGTGGTAAATCCAAATGTTGTCACTATCTAGAAAGACCTGTCGACTTACTTGTGTCGTCTGAGTTTATATGTAATGCTGATGATGGTAAAATAAAAAAAAATATATATTTTTAATCTTCCTCTTTGCCTTATAATATCCTGAATGCACCTTTATCCCATAAATGGCTTTTAAATAATGTTTTAGGCTATATTTGTAACAATTTCCTGTTTTATCCTCCTGGAAAATGAGCTTTTAGAGCCACTGAATGCTGTAGAGGTCTGGTTCATATCACCACCAGTGTGAATTAAGTTTCTCAAGAGCAAACCACTCAGAATGACTTTGTTTATATCTTAACAATTTGATTATGCAGAAATTTTGACAAATAAGTGAAATTCCCATTTAAGTGCTGCCTCGGCTGGAGCTTTAGTCAGTAGCTTCAGGTACAACAATATAATGCATTGTGCTGTTGCCTGCAGCGTTTATACATCATTATGACAAACGTTACTTTCCATAACAATATTTTTCATGTGAGAAGGCTATTATGCTTGTAATAGGCTGTAATGAGGAAATTGGTAGTCTTTATGGTCTTTCGTGGAAGAGATATTTGATGTTAACTTCGTACTGGACAGTCATGTTTAGCCTGCAATTTCAGCTTTCCTCACTGACCATTGTGAAGCAGCGTAGTGACAAAGAAATAAGTTAAGCAAATTGATGGGAAAACATTTAGATTCTAATACTATCAGTTAGTTCTCATTCTTTTTGAGGGAAAATGGGAAGACCCGTCACAGAGACTGTACATTAATCTGGCAGCGCAGTGGGCTGTAGTTGTTCACTTTAGTGTCTAGCCACAGTATATATGTGCAAGTTCGTGTGAGTTTGACTGAATAGATTAGTGATGCTGATGTGTTGCTTGTTGTGTAGTCAGTCAGACAGTATGCTGTTTATGAAGCACTTACATTGACCTGTGGCCTTGCCACAGTTAAGAGCTGTTTTGCAAATGTATATCGTCTGGTTGTCATGAGAGCGTGGTTTTGTCAGAAGATCAGTCTCACATTCTGATCAGTAACAGTGGCAATACATAAACAATACAGGCAATACGGTACATAGTCAAAACATATCTGTATGGTAAGACTGTGTTGAGTGGGAAAAATGCAAATCCTGACCATGTTTCATAAAAAATGAAAAGAAAAAATATTTTATGAAATAGTAAACTGACAGTACAAGTAGAATTTTGTAGTCATCACATTTCATGATATGCAGAATGGCAGGGATGTGATACAGGTACAAATTGTACAATTTTGACACGGAAATATCTTATTCCAGTCACCACAACTGTATCAATAAAACCCTTTATCTTTATGAAAATGCCTTTTTGTCAGAATGTTTTTGAGTTATTAATTTTAAATCAACCACACCTTTAGATTTAAATACCTTATTTTCTAGCAGACGTGCTAACAAATGCTCAAAGCTGGAAAATATCAAGACTACCGTCTCCCCCCGGAGAAACTGTAGCCTAAATGTAATTTGTAGCCAGACGTTTATCTTAAAAGATGAGCATGTTTTTTTTTTGAAGCAGTGCAGTTTACAACAGGTGAGCCCCCAGGGTACTTTACTTACCTTATTTACTCAAAAATAATCAGTACAAATGAGTGGAAAAACAGACAATGGCAGAAATGAAAAATGAACACAAAAAAATAATATTTCTCACTATAGTTGGAACCACAGAATCTGCAGATCTGCTTGTGCTTAGCAGCAGTTTAAACGTTTGTGAAGAAAATAAAAACATCATTAAAATGCACGTAAAGTGGCTTAAGGAGTTCACATTTATGGCATATGTTTGTTTTGAGAAAATGTTCTAGTGTCTTAATTAAAAAAAAACAAAAAAGCCTTTTTTAGTAGCAGTACCTAAAAATGATTGAACCTTTCTGTTGGTTGTTGGATTTGAGTTATTCTAGTTGTGTGCCAAGTTACGACATTGATGCATATTCAGTAGGACTATAAAAAGGCATCAGTGCATCTGAAAGTCTTGATTCAACATAGCAAACATAGTAAATATAGCAGCACGCAGAGGAATACCCTCATTATTCAGTAACAGCCGAGGGACTGCACTAGGTTTTTGTGTTGGCCGAGTAATGGAGACTGCCTCTTCATATGAGCTAACAGACTAAGGCTGCATTTACACTGCTCCGGCGCGTCGACGTACGTGAACGCACTCCCCCTCTTCAGCTGGCTGCATGTGGGCGTTAACGAAGACGTTCCCTGCGTCACCCAATTAAACCACGTCAAATTTTAATTAATAGATGTGCTGATTTTCTAATAATCAAAAACCAAATTTAGTTATTAATTACAAATATATATACATATTCAAAAATGTCTAGGTTTAAAATTGTTTGGAGCTTTTCCTCCGTGCTCCACCGGAACGTTTGAATACGGAACAAATGTTTTATTCATTGCATTGTGAACACTTAACACGCAAACACCAGCTATCTTCTGATTGGGTAAACGCATCGCGTTGGCCGGATTAGTCTGCGTAAAATTCAGCTCGGCTCAACTTTTCGCCGTACCGCATCCCCCAGACTCAACGCGCTGGACACATCATGCACTGCGTGGCCATGTCTGGCGGAACCAACGCTTTCTATTGAAAATGAATGGGATACGTTGCGGTGCGTTGACGTGCCGGAGCAGTGTAAATGCAGCGTAACAGAGCTGAGGAGTGTCACGAGGACTCATTGTCTTCTACAACAGGTATTTTCTCTTTAGTGGGTGATGTGCTGCTGTGTTATTTGTCAGAGAAATATATTTTCATTGTTTGTTGACCAAGTTAACATCAGCAGTGCTACGTCTGCCTTCCCATTCACATCCTTAATGGTGTGTCCTTAGTAACACGCTCACGTTCAGGCACTCTTGTTTTGGAGTAGTGAATTATGACATACTTGCAAATATGAGCAAAACCATCGTATTTCTTCATCTTTCTCTGGTGAAAAGTAATGAACACCCACTTCAGTGATGTCAGCATTAGAATACTGGCACATCGAATGGTTAAGGAGTACTTGAGTGCCAGTGCACATCAGTTATAACTGATAGTAATATTAAATAAAATATCTGCTTGTTTTTAGCCAAAGTAAAATTCATGTGCTAATTTGATATGTAAAAAATCCATAAAAGCTCTTTATATTGCTTTTTCTCTTTCCTACAACTGTGTAAATAGTTCATCCAGACACATTTATGTCTTGATTGTCTAATCTAGAAGATTTATTTAAATGTGGTTTAATTTTTCCCTTGTAAAGACAAGCTGTCAGTCAACCCAGACATTTATCTTGCTGAATTAAGTTGATCATTATTTTTTCTCAACACTGTGTCCAGAAGGCTTAAAGTGAAGGCTGACTTCTGGCTAAAATGGTCACCTTGTGGATTTTGCAAGTGTAAATAAAGTTATAATAGTAACTTATAAATAATAATATAAATAATGTTAGATTTTCTAATTTTAGGATAGGCAGTTTGTTAAATCACCATGCTATAACATGTTCTATCATTTTTGTTCATTATCACACACCCCCCCCCCACACCATGCTCCGTCTGTGTTCGTGTTCCTTTTCACTGTGTTGTAAAGTTAACAGTTCTGCTTCTTTCATCTTGCAGTGTGCATGGTTGTCTTTGTTGTAGTGTCTTTGCAGAAATCTTGTTAAAAGCTGGAGGTTTGCAACTGAAGAGTTATTTTCTGTACAACCTCACCACCAGAGCTCAACTTTTACATAGTTCATTGAGGAACTTATGTACCTTTTGTAGATCCTGTCAGTTGTTAGACTACATTTTGTGTTTCTTCTAGCTTTTGTGCGCTCAGCCTGCTGTTGATGTGGGTTAAATGTTAAAGGCTGACAGCCACGTGATAATTTGTGCTTTAATTGTCTCTCTAATAAATAAATGTTGCTAAACATTGTAGAATTTCTTTCAGAGAGTCTTTGCTTGCATTTTCCAGGCACACCCCTGGCCTCTAAATCGCTGTTGCTGGAGCACTGTTGTACTATACAGCTCTAACACACATGGTTCAGTTTATCAGCTAATTGACAGGCCATTCACAAGTCGAATGCAGCGTATCAGAGCACCAAAAACAGAAGCCTGTACATGCGGCTCTCTCCCGGAGTAAATTTAACGGTTTAGTAACAGATTATTTAACTAGGTATTTATTAGTCCGTAGACGTATGTTCTGACAAATCTGTAAGAGTTGATGAAAGTGGAGAAGAAGAAGAAGAAAAAAAGGAAAGGAAAACAGGCTAAAAACCTCTGATGATATTAACTTAGTCACTCATAATGCACAGACAGGGTAAACTGTTGCACTGCTGCCAGCACACTAAAGGAAACAGTAGCGCGAAGGAATTTTTTTAGCAGGAAGCGTTTCAGGAAGCTATTCAGAAATAGCCAGGGAAAGTCTTTTGGTCACCGCAGGTTAAACTGGTAGGTTTTTATTTCGGCGAAGGCTAGAGGAATGGGTGCCATCTCTTCAGATAAGCTGATACGCTAACCTTAACACTAGAGCTAACTACTGCTGCAGTAGACAGTGATGACCCATGGGTTCTGGAAGGTTTTGTTAGTTTTTTGCAATAATGCTGAGAACAGTTAAATATCTTTTCTTTGTTTTTGGTTCTAGATAGCACCAGCCAGAGTCCTTAGCCTAATTACAGCTGCACTAGCTCTAACTTCGTAACTACGTCCTTAACAACAAGCCCTTGGCAACCCGCTCAGTGAAGTTAAGGTCATATACTTAATTGCAAATATGAACAAAACTTTTCACACTTTTCAGCACTTTACTAGACTGCAGCATAACAAATACTTGTATACTATTTTCAGTATTCAAATACTGGCAGCTTACCGAGTACTCATCCTCGCCTCTTGTATTTATTACGGTAGATATGGTAAATTGACGAGAAAACCGTGTTTAGAGCAGTGTTTTTTAAACTAGTCCTCAGCACCACCACTCCTTATGTCGTTTTTGCATGATGGACCTCCATTTAGTCCATTGGTTTATTAAACAGTAATGTTTGCCCTGCATTTACAAGAACTTAAGGCACTTTGGAAATTTAGGTTCTGAACGGCCACACTCTCCCAAAATGGCTCTTAAAAATGTCAGGACACAGAATGATAGATGTGCTTCTTCTGGCTCCGTTTTCAATAATGAATTCATTAGGCTGAACATATTTAACCCATGCACTGGTTCTACTTGCATGCACAGGGAAGGCAAGTGTTTGATTCTTGATAAAATGTAAGGAGTTGCTTTGTGCAAATAATTGGGTGGCTGGATACTGGACACTATTTTTTGTAATTAATACCTGATATAATGCCTTGTTGCTACTGACTAGGAGTGTGCTTGGTTGAATGAGTGAGAGCCGAGCGAGGCTCCTTTTCCTTCAGCTGAACTTTTCATTTCTATCTCTGTTCCAGAACACATCATCAAAGACAAACTGAAGGAGAGAGAGAGGGAGAAGGACAGAGAGCGGGAGAGAGAAAAAAAGAAGGAAAGAGATAAAGACAAGGATAAAGATCAGGAAAAAGAGAAGGATAAGGAGAAAGAGAAGAAGAAACACAAATTGATGAATGAGATCAAACGGGAGAATGGAGAAGTCAAGTTGCTGCAGAAAGGTGAGTAATGAGACTCTAATTTCTCATCAATTAATCAAAAATAAATTAAACATCTGATAGTAGAATTACCACCATATGGCAGGTGATCTGACATAGGTATTGTTCTGTATAGTTCTGCCTTGGTTCTGTTGTGGTTACCTATACTAACTCAGGTTTATTTTGAGAGTATGTTACTGTGTATAGTCAGAGTGCTCTCTGGGACGGCTTAAAATCTGTCACTGCAAACAACTCTGATGCTGCAGAAGACTTTTAGAATATCCTGGCACCTCCTCATATCCCCTTTGGGAGCTTCAGCAGTGTTTCCTTCAGAAACTGCTCGCAAGTCTCTAAAATTTAAAAACAAAAACAAATCGTGATTCAGGTTTACTTCACAGGTTTTTGAATCACAGTGATCCCCGGGAGCCATAGATATTACCTCAAACTGTGATGTGTGCTGGGTGTTTGAATAAGTTTGTCCATGCTGCACAATATTTTATGAAAGTGTGTGGATTTATAAATGAAAAAAATAATTAGCTTTGAATTTTGCATGATTTTAATTAACTTCTTTTGTGAATGCATTCTGTAAATCCTATGCACATGAATGTATTCTCACATTCAGTTTCCTAAATGAAGCCCTGCAGTGTTCCTTAGTGGTATCATCAGTTTGTCTAACTGGTTAAATTGCTGACACCACATATTTGGTCAGACATACATGATGAAATGCAGTCTTATTGGGGTCTAAACATGTTTTCTTCAGTACAAGTTTATGTTTGGTACAAAAAAACGGATCCTGAAAACATGACTTTGTAGCAAGCTGCCTTAATACTTGTTTATTTGACCCTAAGGCTCTTAAGCAAGTTGAATTTAAATAGAGGAGTTAAAATCTTATTAAACGTTCTAGGATTCTCAGTTAGTGCTGGGCAATATTTATAAAATTCATATAACAATATTTTCTTAATATGTCACAGTATCACAGCATCTTGAGTACTGGACCTCCTAAAAATAATGACTTATAAACCTGACATAACTTTTTTGGATTCTCTTAAGTTACACCAAAGAGAATCTAGCTCAGTGTGTTAAATATTAACTTGACAGAAACCAGAAAGGAAACTTACTTTGTGGATCTTAAACCTTTTTTTGTGGAGCATCAAGCAAACGCTGCAGTTAAATGTCAGGCCCTGGAGACCATGAGTAAAGTGCACAATATAAAACATCAAAACTCAGAACAAACACTTGGCAACAGGAGCATTTCTATTTCATGAGATTTATATCATAGATACTGACCATTACATTCATGAAGTAATGCTGTGTATCTAGCAGATATGATCCTTAAAATATCTCTAAAGTGAAAACCAATATGAAGGTCAACATCATGATGTACCAGAATAGGTGAAATATTGCCCAGTACTATTCTGAGGATGTCAAAAATTGTGATTATCATGCTGTGATTCCAGCGTTCATTCACTGCATTTTATTAAATGGTAAGCATCTGGAAATTTGCATATTCTGTTCACTTGATAAAGTGCTAATTATAATTCATTATCAGTTCATTATATATGTAAGTTCTTAGCATATTTAAAGCCTACTTATGCATGTAACTCAACAGCCACAGGAAGTTGGCAAGTCATTTTTGTTTCTCTGTGCTAGCCCACAAGATAACCCATTGGCTGTGTATCCTGGGTAAAAACTAATGTTTCTAACAGTAAAATTTTATGGGTTGTTTTAAAAGAGCTTACATTGTAGAGTGTGAAGAAATGTCTTTACACCTGATGGCCCATCCAAGAACAGAACACAGGAAATGTGCATGTCAGTCTGCGGTACAGCTGTGCTGAGTTCTTAACTCTCATTGAGCTTATTTTGGATGTGGTTTTTGCATTACGTTGTAATACAGTAATATCAGGAGTAATGCTATAGCAGGGGAAACAGTGATGGTTCTGGCATTGAGAGCATGCTTTCACACATGCTAATGAACTTGTTCATAATCTCAGAAGCATGACTAGGAGAAAACAGATGGCTTTCTGCTTCTTTCTGTATCTCTAAATGATCTCACTCTCCCTTTCTATCATTCCTGTTTTTTTTTTTTTTTTTTTGTAGCATACTGTTTGTTTTGGACACCTAACCTACAGGTTGAGTCCAAGCAATTTGGATCTGCTCTTGTCCTTCATGTTGCAACAGCTTTGCTCTGGTCATGTCTTATTTAATTGACCAGTAGCTTTGCTGAATAGTAATTTAGGTCTTCTCTGCAGACTGTACTTGCCTTTTATGTTGTGTTTTTGTATTTTGAAACAAAATGAAGGCAAAAAAGACCAACTAAAGTGGCTGTGTTAATACACTTGTGACATCCTAACATTTGCAAGGTTTTGTGCAAATAGTTTTTGCTAGAGTAATTGTTTTGAGTAATTTATTAGCCAGACTTCAAAGCAGCGCACTGGAATCTGCTATACTGTCTCCTTCAATCTTTTGGTGTTTTCAAATAATTTGGGAGGCCATATCACTTCATATGGGTCTTTTTTCCACGTGGCATTCTTGTACATAAATTAAGTCTGAAGTAGCGTGACTGAAGCATTTGTAGCTTTCTGTGAGTGTGCTTTTGTTTACGACTTTGTGTGTGGGAGCGAGACAGAGAGAGAAAGAGAAGTCACAAGTGGAGAACGTCTTTGTGAATTGAATTCCTGTTTTTGTAGCTTGCTTATGAGAGCACTGGAGTCTTGGTGTAACTGCATTGTTTCCGGATTGGATCTCTGCTGAGCTGTGTGAAATGAAGGAGAGAGCTGACTGTCCAGCTTGCTGACTGGTTTTGCTTTGCAGGGTTTCTGAGCACGACTGGAGCTGTGGACGAACAGCATAGCTAACAGTAAAGACCAGCAGTCTGGTTTGACATTTATCTGTTTTGTTTGTGTTGTCATACACCCTTTTGGGTTTAAAATTGGCAGTTGGGCTAAGACATCATGGGATTGGTTGAAGTGAGCTGTGAAATTCAATCCTATTCATGTCTTTCTGCAGAAGTGGGACATGCACTGTTACTCTTTAGAGTGTTATTCTTTGAAAAAAGAAGAAAAAAAAAAAGAAAAAAGAGTGACGACAAGCCTGAGCAACAAAACACAGTTCTGGCTTAAGAAGACTCAAATGCCTGGGAAAATATAAAGGTTTTCAAACTTGGTTTTTTAAAAAAAAGAAGAGAGAGATTTTAAATATCTGTTGATAAATAAATAAAAAATAGTAGCCCTGGGAGGTTGAAGGGCATTGTAGGGAGATCTTAAAGTGAAAATGTACCTAAAGCTTAATTTTTTCCCCCTCAAACTGTGGAAATGTCTTTGTCAGTTGAACAATTAATTAGACTAAACGCCTCACCTGAATTCATATATATAGTAAATATATATACTATAAAAAATTAAACCTTAGTTCATGTCCCTGAGCCCCTGGTGTCCCCTGTCTCTGAATATGATTTGAAACACTTGTTTTCCTTTAGTCTTTGGCTAAAATGTAATGATTTTTGCCTGCTTTGAAAACATTTCCTGACTTTTGAGTGCATCAATGTGCACCAGCAGATGGGACAAATAGTATTATTTGATAAAATCAGATTTCACCTCCCCTCCCAACACCCCCTTGAGAGAAACGCTCAGCTAGCTCAGATACCCTCCCTGATACTGTGGTTCATTCATAAAAATGCCCTGGTGCAACAGGAAAATGCATAATGACTTCTAATTCATGTTGAATTTAACCGTGTGACATTGCAGAATCAAATCTTCACTGATTTTGTTACAACCGCAGAGAACAGTATGATATTAATACATTGTAAACAGTCTGATACATTGTTTGGTATAAACTGTTGCTAATAACTAAATGAGCTGCAATGAGTGAAGATATCTTTTTCATTTACAAACAGTTTTAAACAATTTACTGAACACAGTAGCCTGAATCGTTAAAAAATCCAAAATTGTGAGAGATGGGGCTTTTAAAAATGTTTTACTTTAGCAGAGTTGGCAGGATGTGCAGCAGCAAGTACAGTTTGCTTTTGCTGTGTAACAAAGCCAAAACAATTCCAACTATTTTTCATGTTTATTCAGCAGTAACAATACTGACATCATTCTGCATGTCCAAAATGCATTTTCTTGTCCTTCCTTGTGCATCACTTCTACCTCTCTGTAAAGCAAACACCAAAACTCTCAAAAGCAAAGTGCAAAATAAAATTAATGAAATACTGAAAGGCACTTGCAGCCTAACTGAAAGCATATTTCTGTGGCTCTCAGAAAAACAGCCAGCATTCCCTGAACAGGTTTTTATATATATATATATATATATATTATATATATATATATATATATTGCTGCTGTTGGATGAAAACTTCATATCTTTAAAATGGTAACTTTACAGGAGAAGGAAAAAACAAACTTTACTTTTAAAGTAAGTCAATGAAACCACACTTTTTTTCTAAGTAATTTTAGGCCATTTCTTTTGGTCCATTCATCATGAAATTTACAGACAATGTAAAGAGCAACAGGCGTTTTCAAATCTGTCAAAAACAAAAAAAAATGACGAAAATGAAGATAAGAGGTTGTCTTCTGACAGCAGCGATATATACGAAATGTATTAAGTGAATAATGGCTCACACAGAAGCAACATGTTGAAATGTACACATTCAGGAAAATAAACTTTATAAAAATTAAATAGAATAAAATAATCTTTAGTTAGCTATGTTAGTTACTTGGAGCTTGCTAGTAGCGAATGTTAACTGTGCTAGCTGCTTGATTTTGATCTTGACAACACAAAGTAAATTAAGGTTGTTAGCTCACTACACTCATAAAAGTTCATAAAAGTTATGAAACTGTCACTGGGGCAGTACCCGTCTTGTCACTGGGGTGGTACCCTCAAGTGTACATCTCAGTACCTTTAGTCAGGGAACATAATTGTACCATAATCCACTGGAATTATATTTTCTAAGTTGTACTGACTCCACACCCCCCGTCTCGTCTCCAGGCTTTTATTTTACTGTTCTGTTACAAAACGTTAGGTTATGAAAA